AGGCCAGGCAGGTGATCCAGGCTGCAGAGGAGACAGAAGACCAGGGAGTAGTTGCACCCTTGTTCTTATTCTGCAATGACTTGCTGACTCTCCTGGGGCTGAGGTCACCCTGGAGCTGGGAGACGCCCTCAACATGCAAGTTGAGCCCAGGGCAGCCCCGCTCTGCTTATGGGTAAGAGCCAGTGTGGAGTGAGTGTAGCTCTATAGGTGAGTACTGCTTAATAGTGACACAGGAGCACAAAAAGAGCCTGGGTTGTGTGAATGCCCATTCCTAGACACTGGGAGCTTCTCAAGGACATGGTCCTTGTCTGGTTCTTCCTGGGTACCCAGCACTGCCCAGCGTGGAGCCTGGCAAAAAGCAGGAAATCAGGATGGATGAGTCAGTGGGAGGATACACAGATGGATGGAACGAACGGAAGATGGATGAATAGAAAGATGGCTGAGAGGATGCGAGAATGAGAGGAAAGGTGGATGGATGGGTCAATGACTGGATGGATGGAATATTAACAAATAAAGGTATGGGTGAATTAATGAATGACTCAGTCAATGGTTGAATGGAGGGAAATAATGGGATGCATGGGTATTACAACACATGGATACGTGGACAGATGGTTGGATACACGACATTGTGGGTGAATAAGTAGAAGGGTGGGCGGGTGAACCCAGAAGTAGACGACTGACCTTTAGGTGGTCTGAAGTGAGGGTGAGTTGCATCAGACCATTCCCATGACCTCCCCAGTGTCCTCCTGACCCGGTGGCCAGGCTGGTGTCAGAGTAGGGGAGGGCTGGCAGTTAGTTCCTCTTCCAAACAGCACATCTCCCTCCACTCCCTCTCTCCAGCCACTAAAGAGATCCTGGCTGGAATGGCACCCCTGACACCTCTGACGGGAAGAACTCGAGAGCTCAACCTGCGGCTCCCTCCTTCGCCTGCAACCCAGTGCAGGCCTTACCTGCCCAGGCCAGCCTGGCCTGAGGCGGTTGTATATACGTACATATACATCCCAGTATGAACTGAGCCAGGACTGGGGTTGAGGTGTTGAGAATCGGCAACAGCAAGGAATTATCTGCAGAGAACACGGGTGGTTATGTCATTGTTGACCTTTGGGACCTGGTGCCTGCCACTAGCTGGGAAGATCCTAGAGCTTGGTGCCAGTGTCCTTGCTGCATGCCCTGCCTCTGACCAGGTGACCCTGGGCTGCCCTTCTGACATCTCTGAGCTTCAGTCCCTTGCTGTCCACAAAGACCCCAGGGCTTGCCTCTCCCCTCTCCCCGCCGCCACTGCTTACTCATGTTTGGCAAGGACTCCTCTGTCATCCTGTTGGGGTTCCGGCCTCTTTGGACGACCCTGGGGCTGCCAAGAGTCACAGAAACATTTTACAATTCACAAGGAACATGGTGCATTTCCATGTTCCAGACTGAAAAACTGAGTTGCAGAGAAGTTTACCCAAGACCACCAGCCTCTGAATCAGGGACAGACCAGGAGTACTGACCCCAAACCAGGTGCATCACTGCACTCTGCCAGCACTCTCCCCAGTGCCCGGCACGCAGTAGGAGCTCAAGAAACGCAGGCTGAAAGGATGACCGCTCCACCACTTCCTGGCCGGGGGACTTTAGAAAAACCACTGTCAAACCTTTCTGACCTCAGTTGCTGCATCTGTGAAGTGCAGGGGGTAATGCCTGCTCACCTCCAAGGAGGAGGAGGCAGAGGGGCAGCATTTTGTAAACTGTGAAGGGCTAGGCAGAGGGAAGGGCTGCTGTCCTCACCTCCTGGGCCTGGGAGTCCTGCAGGGGTGGGCCACATCTTCAGGTGGGTCACACGGGTCCCTGGGGCTCCTTGGGAACCGTGGCATTGATTTCCTTCTCTAGGACAGGGATTGGTGGTGGGGGTCTCCAGGAGTTGGCGAGGAGGTTGTAGCTTCTACCAGAGCCTCCTAGGCTTCCCTGAAAAGTGTCATGTGGAATCTTCCCAGGCCAAGTGGAGCCATTGGCACTGTGACCTCACAGAGCAGGTGTGGGGGGTGGGGTCTGACCTGTCACCAGCTTGGCCCTGGAACTTTCTCTTGGAAGAACCCATTCTGACCAACTTTGCACTTTTAAGATGGAGAAATGGAGGCCTCAAGACAGGAAGGGTCATGTCAGGGCCTTAGGGGTGGGAGAACGACGAGACCTAAAGCTGCAATATCCAGGCTATGCTTCTCTTGCTCCAGAGCCCTTCCTGCCCCAAGTGTCCCAGACTTGCCCTCTTCTTAGGTTGTATGTGAACATTTTATAATGCTGAGCTTCTCACTGGTGGGCTTTTTGCATAACACAAAATGATGTATATGTGCTGTTGTTTTAATGAAGTTCTTTTTACTGGAGAAAAACAACAACATAAAAGTGGGAATGTCTGGCTTTGTTTGTTTGTTTGTTTGTTTGTATTTCCGTCGTCCCTGCCAGTGGAGAGAGCCTATTTGGATTATGAAGTGGAAATGAATTCACTTTGCCTCCTGGTGGCTATTGCTCAAATTGCAGGCTAAGTACCTGTGGTGAATGAAATAATGGTCCCCCAAAGAGGCCTGTGTACTAAAACTTGAACACGTGAATATGTCTGGTTACCTACAAAGGGGAACTAAAGTTTGCAGATGGGATTAAGGTTGCTAATCATCTGACCTTGAGATGGGAGAATATCTTGGATCATCCGGTGGGCCCAGTGTAATAACAAGTTTTCCTTATAAGTGGAAGAGGAAAGCAAAAGAGAAGAGAGATGGCAGGCTGAGGAGCGCTCAGTCCAGGCTGCTGGCTTTGAAGATGGAGGAAGGGGCCATGAGCCAAGGAATGGAGGTAAGGAAACAGATCCTCTTCTAGAGCCTCTAGAAAGAAACAAAGCCCTGACAATACCCTGATTTTAGCCCAGGGAGACCCAGTTTGGATTTCTGACCTCCTATAAAATAATAATTTGTGTTTTAAGTCAGTAAGTTTGTGATAATTTGTTATAGCAGGAAAAGGAAACTAGTACATTCCTTTCAAGAATATTTGGTGGAAGGGAAGCCCTGAAATGTTGTCATTATAATTGTTACAAGGGTCTTACAATTGTACATTCATTATTAATTCAACATATACTTATGAAGCACCTGGTGTGTTCCAGGCAGTGGCTGCAGGGGTGAGCAGAACCAGCTCCCACCCTTGAGTGTGAGGGTAAAGGGACTGGCAGAATACGTTGCACAGAGCAGGTGCCACCGAACGGTGCTTGCCATGCGGTAGGGAGGAGGGGCTGGTGAGAATCTCCCTCTTTTGTGTCTACTGGCTGTCACTCAGTGTCTCCTGTGCTGAAAATGCTGAGGAAGAGGAAGTGTTCACGTGGAGAGTACACAGTGAGAGTGTCTTCTGTCAATATTTGTGCTCCTCTCCACTGACTCTGCTGTTTGTCTCCGCTATGGTGAGGGCTAGGAGGGCTGCACACACTGAAGCTAGGAGTAGAGTGCTAGGGAGCGTGTAGCCGGCTCTTCTCGCTCCTTTTTGCCTATTGAATAGGGCAGGGGGGCACTGGCTGGGGGGCAAGGCTGATCCAGGTGAGCTCTGGCCTCAGCGGAGAGCACAATGGATTCTGTCGGTCCTGTTGCTCTAGTGAGCACCTGGCACAGGGTGGGCATGGGCCCTGGGCCTGGTATTTGGGCTGGTGCGGAGTCAGTGGGAGCCATGGAGGGCCCTGGGGTGAGGGAAAGCCTGAGGTTTGGTAACCCAGGTGAGTCATACAGAGAAACAAAGGGGACTTCCCTGCACTTATGCTATCACTTCCTGTGCCCACATGTATGGACACACACAGACATACATACACCCCTCCCAACACCAGGAAACAGTCCACTATACACATGTGCACATACACACATGCACTTAACACCGTGTACACACAGACCCACTGGCATATTCAGTATACCAAGCCCACATATGCAGGGTCCAGCAGAAGTAAGGCCTGCTTCAGTGTGTTTGGTGGGGTAATAATATGGGTGTAATAATTTATAGTTCTAATTTGAACATTTCACCTAAAATGTCACATGGTGTGCTTGAGTGTGACATTGTTATGTTACAGGATTACATGCTTATGATTTTGTAATAAAAACAGAGGTGTTATTTGTGCCCGACCCTGTATATACTGTACACAGAGCTCCCCCGCCACCACTCATGTAAGGTTGCATGAACAGGCATGAAACACCATAAGCCAATGTGACAACATGAACATTTCATGTACACACTCACACTTTCCTCTGATGGCAGTAATTATGACCTAACACACACATACACAGGGCCAGGCACACATAACCACACACACACACAAACACACACAAAACCCTCACACACATGTACATATAAACTTTCCTCACATTTGCACAGTGCCTTGGCCCCCTACAGCCGAGGCGGAGCCTGGCGTTTATAGTGCAGAAAGAGATAACGGGCTAAGTCCATGGTGAGGGCGATTGGCATTTGGAGCGGGTCTGGAGTGTTAAGTAGCAGGGACTGGGCCATCCACACCCTCCCGTCCGTTGTCTTTTGAGTTAAGGCTCAGTGTCTGATGAGCATCAGGGCTTAGTGTGTGACCAGGGTCAGGGCTCAGCCAGGCACTGGGGTTGGGGCTCAGGCAGCCTTCTCTTCCTCCTAAAAGGGCCGGGTTTCTGGGCCAAGTGGGAGGCCCCAGGCCTGCGAGGTTCCTGTGGCTGCCCCCTGACTCTGGGCATTCCCTCTCCCCTGGGTCTGGCCAGGCCTGGCTGGGGTGATGAGGGGTCCCTACTGGGAACAGAGCTCGTCCCAGAGATCTCCAAAGCTGCCCAACCCCAGGGTCTTGCAGCGGTTGGCAGCTGGGCCAGCTACGTGGCAGCCCCACCGCCCCTGTGGGATGAGATGCTTTGGCACAGGCCATGTTTGCAGGGAAAACACTTGCGACCACAAGCAAACCTGTCCCTCCCCATGTTCCTTCCCTGCAGGCCTGTATACCAGGGAGCCTTATAAAGCAGCTTCTGTGCCTGCCTGGGGCAGGTGAGGGTTTGGTTGGGGCTGAGAGTCCATCTGTCCCAGGAACTGCCTGAGGTAGGACTCGAGATGAGCTGGCGCTCCTCCAAGGAGGAACCTCAACTTCTCTATCTACTCAATGGGGACACTGCTTTCAATCTTCTTCTGGTCCTGCTGTGGGACTCTGGGGAAGTGCTGCCTTGCCAGGACTCAGTTAGCCCATCTGAGCAATGGCCCCTCATTTCTGTCTAGCTCCTGCTCTCTGAGTTGGACACAGAGCTATTTGCCCACTTGCCTGGGCTGGGGTAGGAAGGGCCAGGGGTTGGTGAAGAGGCCTGCTTTCTGCACATTCCTTACCTGGCACAGGATGAGATGAGGGTAGGAGCTACCCCAGGTCCTTTCCTGACTAGGTTTGGGCAGCTGGACCCCAGAATGGGCTGTCACACAGGGCTGTACTCCTGGTATCAGGCGACCCAGCCCTGGGGCTCGGGGTGGTGGGCCTGGGCTTCAGTCTCCTCATTTGGGAGTCTCACCATCCTCTTCTGGCATGGCTCGGGTCCTGCAGCCCCCGTTTGCTGTGTGGTCCTAGGCAAGGCCATGACTCCTCTGGGCCTAGGGGCCCAGATCCCTTGTGGTTCCTGACAAAGCAGGCGGGGGAAGGCAATTCTTCCCAACGTAGAGATGCAAAACTGTGTGCGGCTTGTGGCAGGGCTGGGATTGCCACTCGGGGCTTCCGATCGCCAGGATGGGGTGGGGACTGGGGGAGAGTCTGGGCAAGCTCCCTGAATCTTGTCCCCACCCCAGCCCACAGGTTTGGGGGGCAGTGACCAGGACCACCATGGCTCAGGTGTGCAGGCTGGCCCTGCTGCTGATGCTGCTCCTGCCTGTGGTGGGCGCCTCCGTGCCAGGCACCGTGGTCAGACTCAACAAGGCTGTGCTGAGCTACGGTAAGGGACATGTCACTGGGCTGTCCCGTGTGTGTCTGTGCACGAACATGTGCGAGTGAGTCCATGTCTGCCTATGTGTGCAACCCTAAGTGTGCATGTGTATCTATGAACTCTAAAGCCCCCTGAGGACCCACTCAGATCTTATCTGTCACTGTGTCCCTTGCACCCAAGAAGTTCCAGACACAGTGCTTGTTGCTCAACAAATACTTATTAAGTGAATGCATCAATGGGGCTGTATGTCATGTCCAAAATGCAAGTGTGCCCACAGGACTGTGCTCACAGGCCTAAGTGGGGAGGGTGTGGGTCAGTTTGAGTGGAGATTTTGCTAGTGTGTGTCTGTGTGTAAGTTTGAAGATGCATGGTCATATGCCCACATGTGTACTTGAGTGTCAGGCATGTGCCTAACCATGGGCATGTGTGCAAATGTCGTGGTGAATAGATGTGTATATACAGGTGTGGCTGCACATCCTGGTTGTATATGTGTGTCCATGGGGGGTCTGTGTGCACATGTGTGCGGGGGAGGGCACGTCCAGCATGGTACTGAAAAAGCGTCCTGGAGTTAGATCCCTGTTAGGTTCACAGTGAGAAGAACCCACCCTTTAGCGGCCCAGCCAAGGCCTTTGTCCTATGACTCTGCTCCATCCCCTGGGGAAGGCACAGTGAGGAAACCTAGGTGCAGGGAAGGACAAGAGCTGTCCTCCCGGCTGCGCCTGGGTTGGATTTGGGGTCTCAAAGCTGGGTTGGGGGTGAGTAATCAGAAATTGTGTTTCCCCCTAGGCCAGACCAAACTCACACCACAGTGTGAGGGACTCAGGTCAAAAAGTAGAAGGGACTTTCAGTGACCCAGGCCACGAAGCTGTGAGACAGTGGCTCAGGGAAGCAGCAGGGTGTCCTGGTGCACACACAGCTTTCAGCGCCTTGTATCTGGACAGAGAGGCAGGTGGTGAAAGGGGTCAGTGATCCGTGTTAGAGCGTGACTGGCACATGGCACCAGGCACAGATGCCTGCAGGGAGGGACACAGGCCACTGCCCTCCGCTGGCCACCTTCTCTCCACCTGTCCCATGTGAGCCTCCTTTGTCCTGGACAGCCATCCATCCAGGTGCACCTGGCTGTGTTTGTTCTCGGCGGAAATCCGGCAGGAGGCCTGTGCCCCACACTCCTCTTTCCAAGGCCAGGCTGGGTGGCTTCTTAACAGTGTCCTCTAACCTCGGTCCGAAAGCCCCAGAGTTCAAGGTCTGTGGTGGGGAACACTGCAGATGAAGTCCAGAGGCCTGGGTGTGAGTCTTGGCTCAGCCACAGATGGTCAGGCTGCAGGGAGGGGCATCGGGAACATAAAGACCACTGCCTTTATGCTTGGGTCTGGGGAAACTGAGGCCCAGCGGGGTCCAGGGACTTCCCCAGGTCCCACAGTGAGTCTGAGCGGAGTTCGGGCCTCTCGACCCCCCTCACCTGATGCTCTCGCAGCATCATCACCTCTTTTAATCCCACTCACACTTAGTCAGCCTTTTCCGCGGCCCCGCAGGACAGGTGTGTGAGGAAGGCCAGGGCCTTGGGAGCCAGGTGCCTCGGCCCGGACCTGACTTCTTGCCAGGTGTCCTCGCCTCTTGGTAGGCTGGGCGTAATAGAGTACCTACGGCACTGAGCTGTGAGGAACAGGGCCTGGCACAAAGGGGGCACTATAGAATGATAGCCATTATTATCACGAAAACTAATAGCAACAGGGAGAGCGAATGTTAATTGTGCCCTGAGTTGTTACAAGGACCCTATGTAAGGGGTGCCATTATAATCACGAAAACTTCTAGGTGGGGAAACTGAGGCACCATGCAGCCACACAGATAGTAGCAGGGCTGGGGTGTGCACCCAGAATCTGAGGGACTCCAAACTCCTTAGCTCTTAGCCCCCAGGCTTCCCCACCCCTGTTTGATTGGGGGGTCCCCATCTGCTTGGGGACTTGGGGAGGCTCCAGAGGAGGTGGGATTACCTCCAGAGTGTTGGAAAGGGCGAAGGATGTTATTGTTTCTGAGGAACAGGGCGGACAAGTAGGATTTGGAGAGACACACAGAAGAAAGACGTGTCTTGTGGGCCTGGTGTGAGAAGTGTACCCAAGGAGGGCTCGTGGGGCACCAGCTGGCCCCCATGTGCCCACTGGTGACAAGCCTGCCCCTTCCGGTCTCTGAGGCCTCTCCGCTCAGGATGCTGGGGGGACAGATGCTGGGTGGTGCGGTCTCCCTTGGTGGCTCCTGAGAGCAGCCTAACCCAGCCCTGCTCTGGCTCCACAGTGTCTGAAGTTGGGAAAGCCCCTCTCCAGCGGGCTCTGCAGGTGACTGTCCCACATTTCCTGGACCGGAGTGGAGGCGGTCTTCAGCCCACCAGGTGAGTGCTCCTGTCCTCCAGGGAAGGTGCTCCCGTCACCAGGTGAGCGCTCCCGCCTGGCACATATGTGCTCTCACACGTGGGTACCCTCATCTGTAGATGAATGTTTCCCCCAACAGCTGGATGGGGGCTTCCCTCACCAGGTTGCATGCCCTCACCCATTAGGCAACTTAGGCGATGGGACCAAGGTGGAGACCTGGAGACTGGTCCCTCTGAATTGGTAGATTTCTGCCCCTAGGGGCCAAAACTGTGGCTCCTGTGTCCCCAGGGCTGGCAGGACTCTTGGCTACTTCCTCCAAAAGCCAGACGCTGAACTTACGGCATGTGTCTGAGCCTAACTTCCCTCCACACCCCTTGTAACGCACAGAAGCTCAGACACGGAGACAGGGAGGGACGTCTCAAACTCAGCCGTGTCCAGGGGCCGGGCCAGCTGACCCCATCCAAGTGGGGACACGGACTCGCTATTGCAGGTCTTTGGATTCCCAAGGGAAGTTACAAAATCTGCCAAGTTTTAAATGATGACAACTAAGTAGAAGCATTTAAGGCTTTTAACACCTGGGTGGGCACAAGCACAGGCGGCTTGGAGGCCCCAGTTGGAGGCCCCAGCGGCTGGGATACTGGCCGTGGCACAGTTGGTCCTGGTGGAGAGCCGGGAATGACATCAACCCCCAGCAGTCGAGGCTTCCGACAGGCTTTGTAGTCGGGCTGCATGGCGGCAGCACACTGCTGTTAAGGACAATGCTGAGGGTCCTTGTTTGCAGATGTGGGAACGCAACCAGGGTGGTTGTCAAATGAAAAGAAATAGGTTCCAGATCAGCCTGTGTCCTGAGGAGAGTCATGGAAGGATGTGACCCAAGTGCTAACAGTGACAGTTTTTGAGGGTGGAGTTTTGATGTGACTTAAAATTTATAACATTGGTAGTGTCTGAATCACAGACCCCCACCCCCACCCCACTACTGTGCAGGGGAAAAAATGACTTTCATTTAGGGGGGGAAAAAAAGTAAACATAGGTTAGTTGGAAAGTCTTAGCAATCCGAAAAGACAACTTTGAAGGGAGGGAGCTTCCCATTGCTGGAGGGCTACAAGCCAAAACAGTTCACTAGGGGGGATTTCTGCCTTCTTGGCATCTCAAAGCCTTTCTTCCCCTGCATTCCCGGCTTTCCAGACCTCAGACAGACACTAAAATCCCTCCAAGACCTGAAAAACCATCTCACCCAATTCCAGTCCAGTGCTAGGGTACTCTCTGCATCTTTTCCCTTCAAACTGGTTGTCCATACATGGCTTGCATGCCCCTTTGGTGGAGAATTCACTGCCTCTTCCTCGTCCCATGTTTCCAATCATCAGAAGGTTGTTCTTTATAACATTGCCAGTGTGGCTATAGCTCAGAGTACCCAGCCCAGAGTTGATTCCTTCGTTTATTGGGAGCTGCCTCGTCACCTCCACTCCCATCCTGCAGGGTCCAGATTCTGGATGTCCAGGTGCCCCGCCTTCACCTGAACTTCATTGATGGTTTTGGGATACGCTTGTTGGCAGCAGCCAATTTTACTGTCAAGGTTTTTCGGTGAGTGAATCTCCTGGTTGTGGGAGGTGGGGCAGGAGGAATTTCAGGGACAATAAGAGTCATTTCACTTCGGCAACGCTCAGTTTTCTCCTCTGTAAAATGGGACGAATTTTTGCAGCACGGCTATGAGGGTTGCAGTGAATGGATTCATTGCTGTAATTAAAATTATAGCCCTCTTTTCATAGTGCCAGGCACATAGTAGGTGCTCAATAAACATAGCTGTTAGAATTATTTCTGTGCACCAGCCACTTTGTATTCATTTAGTTTTCAAACTGAGCTGGGCCTTCAGAGGGATCTCTTATTTTAGCTCCTGATACTACATTTTACTAGAGCTTACTGGGGGCCAGGCTCTGAGCAGGGTGTTTTCATGTGACTACCTCCTGGAAAACTCACCACAGCCATATGAGGTCGGTACCCCCAATCGTATGCACATTTTACAGAAGAGGAACCTGAGGCTCGGCGCTGGGAATGACTGGCCCACGGCCTGGCAGCGAGAGGGTTTGGGGAGCCAGAGTTCACACCCATTGCTGTAACATCTGTGACCCTGAGCGGACTTTGGGGGTCACCTCATGCTGCGTGGGGGTCCTGTCTGTGTCAGCTGGGGGGCAGGCCCGGGCTGGGGGTTTGCAGGACCTCGCATTGGTCAACATGGGCTTTGCTGGGTGGTGCTGCCGGGGCTCAGGACCGGCATCTCCATAGAGCCCCGGAGCCCCTGGAGCTGATCCTGCCGATGGTACTGCTGGCTGATGCCCGTGTGGCCCAGGGCTCCATCGGGACTCCCGTGGTCAGCATCTCCTCCTGCTTCCAACTCTTCAGCAAAGCCATCGTGTTAGATGACAGTGACAGGTAGGTGCCTGGGCCTGTGATCATTTCTTGAACTTCCTACTCAAGCCTTCATTCAATCACCACTGGGGAGGGGGGAGCTTAGAGACCCCCAGTATCACACCTGTTTTATGGCTGAGTTCACTGAGGCTCAGAGACAGGGAGGGATTTGCCCGAGGTCACACAGTGCGAATGCAGCCTAGGCCATGTCCCCTCCACTGCCCAGCCCCACACCATATGGCAACGCACACAAACACACTATTTGTGGAAGAATTCAGGGCTGATGCCTCTGTTAGGGGTTTTGGAGGGCTGCCCCTCCTTGCAGAGATGGGGAGCCTGAGGCTCAGGGAGGCCGGCACATGCCAAGCTCTCACTGTGTCAGGTGGCCGTTTCATGTCCTCATCTAAAGCTAAGAGCCGCTCCGCCTCCAGGGCGCCAGCTGTGTGCTGGGTTGGACCCAGGTGCTTCCTGAGCTGCCTCTCACAGTAGTCTTACCAGGAGAGTATAAGTAGTTTCCTCACTTCACAGGGGAACAAACTGAAGCCCAGAGCAGCTAAGTGACTTGCCTAAGATCACACAGCTGGCAAATGGTGGCGTTCAAATCCCCACAGCCTGACTAACCTGCGGCTTATGAATCCTCTGCATTGTGTCTGCACCTTCCCGCACATGGCTGGGGGCCCGCTGGAAGGCGGCTGAGCCCTTCGGACTGGACTTTTCCCCAGAGAAGAGTTGGGTATAAATTCATTCACTTGTGTCCCATGGTCATGGCAGGGAACTCACATCCCCTCACAATGTTCACTGGTGGTGGCTGCTCGCAGACAAAAGCCTTAGGGTGATGGCATTCAACACCCAGCTGCTGTTCTCCCGCCCCCTCTGGAGGCAACCCAGTGAGTTGGAGCTACAGCTTGGACCAACATTTTAGCAAGATTCCTAGGCGTCCGCGGAGACACACCAACTTAGACCCATCTCTCATTCAAAGAAGAAACTGAGGCCCATTGCCAGGAAGGGACTTTACAAAGTGTGCCACAGGCAATTAGAGCCCAAGCAGGAAACAACCCCACTTCACTGGGCTCAGAATGGACATGGAGCCAGCTGGCCAAAGACATGGCCGAGCCCAGCCTTCACAGTGCCCTCTCTGTCTCCCGCAAGCCTGGCCTCATTTTCATGTCTCAGCCACTTCCAAACCCTGAGACCCATGGCCTCTTCTTTGAGGTTCAGTTTCCTCACCTGTGGGGACAATTGTCCAGCACTGTGTCTGGCCCATGCAGGGTGTGGAATGGGAATCACCGGCCCCTGCCTGAGGGGAGAGACTTCTCTCTCAGACTCTGGCTTTCCTGAAAGACACAGGCCTGGATGCGCTGGCCTGAAGCTTAGGAGCCCTTTCCTTGGCCCTTCCCTAGCACGCCGCCCGCGCTGCTGGTCCTGGTGCAGCAACACATCAAAGCTGTCCTGCACAACAAGGTAAGGGACATCCTGTCAGACCTCTTGGGAGGGAGGGCATCGCTTTCCTCACAAGTGTGGTGAAGGCAGGGGGGCTGCAGGCATGGGGAGACGGGGATGGTTATTGCTTTTTTATTTTTATTGTTTTTAGAAGAAGGCCCTTCCTGGGGGCTCCTCCACTTTTCCCACGAGACAGGGAAGGGGCTGTGGCAATGGTCCAGGGCAGTGATGGGGAGGCCCAAACAAGGGCGGGTTTGGGGCCGACAGGGAAGGGAGGCTCATTCTCTTAGGCCAGTGCCAAGTTCATGCTAGAGGATGGGATGGGGACAGTGCTTCCAGGGACTACGTGGCTGTGAAAAGAAGACAAAATAGGAATGGACAAGGGCATGAGCATTGGAGCCAGATGTGGCCTGGGTTCGAATCTTGATTCCCCTTCTTCCCAGCTCTGAACCTTGGACAAGTCGCCTAACCTCTCTCTGCCCTCCCCCCACCCCACTTCCTTATCTGCAATGCAGAGAGATGGGCTGATTGAGGGCTTCAGCGCGTTAACACCCAGGAAGAGGTTAGGACAGTTTGGGAATGCTATTGCTGTTGCAGCTCCTGTCATTAAGCTGCCTCTGGCTGACTTGGTGAGCGATGGTGCCCCAGGGGCCAAGGTTCCCCTGCTGATGGGGAGCCAGTTCACCAACCCTGTCCCTTCCTACCCTGCCTCCTTTAAGGGGCAGTAGTAGAGAACAGACCAGGCCACTGCATGCCATCCTCCCGTCTTGCAGATGAGAAAACGGAGGTTTGAGGGTTGGAGGCAGCACAGCCTGACCTTGCCCTTTCCTCTGCCTCTTGGCCTCACCTGGCCCAGCGTCACCAGCTCTAGCCTGGACCAGGCAGTGACCAACGCTGGCCTGCAGTCTTTCCTCTGCTTCGCCTTCTACCACAGTGACCCCACCTTAGTATGCTTCTCTGGCTGCCCACTGTGCCCCAGAGAACATTGGTCTCCCTGGCCCAGCTTGCTGACCGCTGCCTGCCCCCACCGTGGGTAGCCTCCTTCCGCCAGCTGGCCCTCTGATGCAGCAGGCTCCCTGCCTCTGCTGCCCACGCCCCGCGGTGGCCACCTCTGCTCTGTGCCACAGCCCTGTTCTTTCTTTGGTGCTCACGGGCCCCAGCTTCCCCGCTGACTCCCCAGTGCCCAGAGAAAGCGCCCGAAGATGCCCACTGGTGGTGGAGGAAGGAGGGCATTCCAAGCCTCAGTGTCCAGTTTGGGGAAGGCTTCCATACAGGGACCCTAGATCCTCCCAGACTCGCCCTCTCTAGCTCTGATGCTGTTCTAACCCAGACTCCTTTGTCTTGTTGCAGCTGTGTCTGAGCATCTCCAACCTCGTGCAGGGCCTCAATGTCCACCTGGGGACTTTAATTGGTAAGACCTGGGATTCTAGGGAGAAGGGGGAAGGGACATTTGAGACCTTCTGAGACTCCTAAGACCCTTCAAGATCCCCTCTTTGGATCAGGTTAGACCCCTGGGAGGTCCACTGTAAGATGACTGAACAATTATTGATGGAATCTGGGAATCTTCCAATTCCAGAATGTCTTCAAATGTTTAGTGCACATATGTATGCATGTATATGCATGCACAAGTGCATAGGGGAGTACATGCAATTTGCTGTTGCCTCCTCCTCGGCCTGGAGACTCAGAGACCCCCTCCTCCCCTGGTTTTGTTCCCACATTTCCCACGTTCTTTGCCGGACTCTCTATCCCTCTCCATTTTAGGGCTCAGGTACTTATATTCCGTTTCCTCTGGACACCTCCTCCTGGAGGCCGTACAGGTTCCTCCAACTCAGCATGTCCTCGACAGAACTCAAGCTCTTCTGCTCCCAAGTGCCCCTGGTTCCCTCGTCAGGGGCCACCACCATCCAGAGTCACAGCTCCCTCTCCTCTCCATCTTCCGTCAGGCTTGTCCCACCTCTGGTTTTCCCAGGGGTCCTCGTTGTCCGGGAGCACTAGGCGTACACTAGCAGAAGGCCCTGTCTTCGGCTAATCCCTCCAGACACAGACCCTGAGATGAGGATTTTAATGTAAGGGGCTCACATGGGGGCTGGCTCTAGGGGGCACTGGTGGAGGAGGGGGGCAGTGAGAGAGAGACGTGTGAGCGAGCAGGTGCTGCTGTGGGCAGCTGGGGCTCACCTGCCGTGGGGAGCTCTTGGACACCGAGTAGAGCACACCTAACACCCTCCCAGGGGGCAGGAGCCGGGTACACATCCACCCGCTCCCATCAGTCATTGGTCACCTCCCCACCGCCCCACACACCTTCCGCCACCGCAGACGACGTCCCAGGCATTGGCAGCGACTACGCAAAGTCCACTTAGACCTGTGGCCACAGTTCGCCCTGAACAAGGCTTGATCAGGACTTCATCTTACAGCATGAAACTAAAAGCTCTGAAAGTAGGTCAGCTTCATTTTCTTTTTAGCAGTTTAAATGTTTATCGACATTTGAGAACTATCTGGCAATTAATTACCTGCCCGCCCATCTCCACACAGATCAGAGTGCATCCTTGTTCAGCTGAGGGGTACTGTGTTCTCAGTGAGCCCTGTGTGTAATCCAGGGCTTCCTGTTTTGTTCTGTTTTTTTGTTTTTTTCCCTTAAGTCTCTTTGGAAGCTGCCCTTATGTGAAGCACACCTTCTCCCACCTGACGGCTTTGCCTGGGATTCAGTGTTTCTCCCACGCTGCTGTCATGACTGTGTGGGACGCAGAGCTGGTGGCTGTTGGCAGCTGCACTTTGCAATCGATTCACTTCGCCTTTGAGTCAGGGGTTTGCATCTAACTCTCCAACAGCCTGGGACAGGTGTGCAGGGTGTGGGGACAGGATTTGGGGTTGGCATGCTGGCATTAAGCCAGGAGGAATGTCTGACAACGTCCATGTTTATGGTGGGTTCCTCAGTGAATATTTTCACATCAAGGGAGTTTTGGCTTTCTTGTGCGAACTTCTTAACAACAGTCCTATGAGGTGGCATCATTATCCCCAACTTATAGACGGGGAACCAGAGGCTCTGAGTCTGAAATCACCAGCCTGGTGCTAGAACTGCCCATGAACCAGCTCACCCTGGTTTTTCCTCCTCACGTGTCCAGCCACTGCTCTGCCCACTCTTCATGGCCCAGTTCTAAGTCACCTTGTCTGGAGAAGGTTCCTTGATTTCTCTCACTCTCCTCACTGCTCAAACCTCCATATAATCTTAATAGGAGGCACCAAGAGGTCAAGAAAATTCGACTTGGAATCAAAGGACACGAAGTTAAATTCTGGCCCTGTTGCTCATTTACTGTGTGACCTTAAGGGAAGTGGCTCCATCTCTGAGCCTAACTATTTGGATCCAAAAAATGGGATCAAAATCCCTACTTCTCCCATTGGTTGCTGCAAGACAGCACAGGTTAAGTGCCTGGTGTGCAATAGGCAGGGTTTTCTCCATCAAGAAGCTATGTAATTAGGCCATACCCAAAACCAACCCTTGCTGTGTCTTGTGAGGAATTTAAAAAAAAATCTAATAAAGGAAATCTAAGCATTTGGCCCTGGGGGACTGTTCACACGAGTCATGTACACCTAAGAGCGTGGAGTGACAGGAGCCATTAAAAAGAATAGTTTAAAGGGACATTTAATCACTTAACAACATGCCTGGCAAAATCCAATATATTAAAAGGTAATATTTACTGTAGTATTATTAGCTTCATTTTACAGATGAAGTAACTGAGGCAGTCTGCTGTGAGAGCCTGTGTTCTTAACTAAGCTATATTCCCTCTCTGTAAAGACAAGAGAGGATACAAAGCTATATATAGCTGAGAAAGAGAGAGAGAGAGAGAGCGAGAGAGAGAGAGAGAGAGATTTTTCTCTATATAAGAAGATACTGAAAAAGAAATAAATTTGAGAGTCCGGGTTATAGTTCCTTCATCTTTTAAAAATTTTCTATATGTCCACAATGTATATGTATTATTTAAAGTTTTTCTTTATTTTTAAAATATAGAGTAATCCATCCTTTTTAGTGCCTTCGGTGAGTTTTGACAAATGCATACAGTGCTTGATATACAGAACGTCCACCAGTCCCTAAAATCCCTTTAGCTGGCCCCCTTGTCCCACCCTCACCTTGACAACCACTGATTGTATTTATTGCTTTTATAATCATAAGAAACTTCAGAAATATTTGAGAAAATACACTTAAATCCAGAAGAGACAATAAAAGTCAGACAGCCCTGGTCAGGCGGCACAGTTGGTTAGAGCATCGTCCAGATACACCAAGTTGTGGGTTTGCCCCCTGGTTGGGGCACATACAGGAATCAACCAACGAGTGCATAGATAAGTGGAATAACAAATCGATCTTTCTCTTTCTCTCTCTCCCTTTCTCTCTCAAAACAATAAATTTAAAAAGTTAAAAAAAAAAAAAAAAGAAAACATCAGACAGAAGTCTGAATGGATCTTTTGCCTTGGGGGAACGTGTCCTATAGGAAGTGGACTCTCTGCGGCACCTCCCCAGAAGGCACTGCTGTGCTGAACTGAATGGCCCAGGGGCCTGTGCCTTTTGAGTGTCTGCAGGCAGCAGTGTGATTAGGGGAGAGAGTGAGAGTAGCTTCAGAGTCAGATGGAGCAGGTATACAGTCCTCGGTACTACCGAACTCACCAAAGTTTGTGAGTGCGTGTGTGTGTGTGTGTGTGTGTGTGTGTGTATAAAACAGGCTCCTAACCTTAAAGGACTGTGGCAAGGATTGAATGAGACCTTGATAAATGTAAACTCCCTTCTTTTTCTGTGGTCCCTTGTTGCCTTTGGCAGGGGTTGTTTGTATCTAGGGTAACGCTTCTCCTTCCTTCTAATTTAGGGTCTTTAGTATTCCTCCGATTGGGAAAGCAGAAGCCAAAACTGTAAGAATGTGTCTAAACTAATAGTCAACAGGTTGGAAGGGGCTGAATCTTGCCACTTTGCAACCTAAGTTTGCTTACTCAGAGGTCTTCTCCTGCCTCTCTTGTTCCTTGGCCTGGGTCTGGCTAACCAAGGTCGTCAGAACATTGAGTTTTCTGGGTAGACGAGGCACTGGTAGATGATGCCGAGTATGCCATCTTTTCTTCTTCATTCTGGTTTTGCTTAGGCCTCAAACCTGTGGGTCCTGAGTCCCAGATTCGCTACTTTATGATCAATGCGCCCAACATCACTAAGAACTACATTTCCTTGGATATCAACGTAAGTGTGTCCTTGTCATCCCAGAGCTGGAGGCTCGTTGCCTCTGGGGTCCTTGGTGTTCTGGAAGATGCCTTAAAGAGCAGGGGAGTTGAGGGAAGAAAGCCTGGAATGACATTTCAGGTGTGAGGCTGGACATGTGGCATCTCGGGGTGGGTGGCATCTCAGCACCCAGGGTCTGTGATGGAGCGTCTCCCTATTGATGCCCCCTGCTTGTTTCCTCCTCTTGCCACCCCCATAGGCTGTTCTCTTCCTTCTGGGCAAGCCCGTTGTCCTGCCTGTGAATGCCACCCCCTTTGTGCTGCCAGAACATGTGGGCACCAATGGTGCCATGGCAACCGTGGGCCTCTCCCAGGACCTGTTTGACTCTACCCTCCTGCTGCTTCAGAAAGCTGGCGCCTTCAACCTGGACATCACAGGGCAGCTGGTGAGGGCCAGACCTGCTGCCTGGGGCATGTGCGGCAGGCGTGTCCTGCGGCCAAGCCTGGGGAGACCCCACGGAGGCCAAACCATGGGTCACAGCGGGGCTGTTGGAAGGGTTAAGAGGGGGGTGTGGGAAGGCAAGCCGTGGTCTAGCTTGGGGAGCTGCTGCCCTAAGAGCTGTCATGGTGTGGGGGGCTGATTTCAGAAGTCCGATGACAACCTGCTGAACACCTCCGTGCTGGGCCAGCTCATCCCCGAGGTTGGTGACATTTCTGGTCATTCCAGGGACTGAGACTCAGGATTGGGGTGGGGGACTTTCTGGGCTGCGGGATGTCTGCTGGCTCCTATCTATCCCAAGTGGGCTTTAGCACCTGCCCTTAGCTCTGCACCCCCTGCCTCTCAGGCATGGCCCTTCCCGCCCAGACTTCACACTGTTTTCTCTGTGGAGAAATACCCAAGCACTGCCCTCTGATGGTAGCATTCCTTCTGTTTCCTTTCCCCCATCGATCTTCAGGACCAAGCTCGGGGATTTCCTCCTAGGGGAGGACCAAACCCCTAGTCTGGTCCAGGAGGCTCCTTGACCTTCCATGGCCCCTGAGCTTCCCTCCCTCCTGGCACAGACTGCACGGGCTATGCCTCTCTTCACGCCCATTACCCCATCAGATCGGTATCCCCAAGGGCAAGGGCCTGGGGTGGTCCCACATCTGTGGACCAGCCACTTACAAATGATGGCTTGATCAGCATCAGAGGAATGACAAGTGGAGAGCAGAGCCCGCTCAGCCTTTACCCCGGGTGGCCTCCTTCCTCTCTCCCCGTCTCCTTCCCCAGGTCGCCCGCCAGTTCCCTGAGCACATGCCTGTGGTGCTGAAGGTGCGGCTAGGTGGCACGCCTGTGGTCACACTCCGTACCAACAACGCCACACTGCAGCTGCAGCCTTCCCTGGAGGTCCTGGCCGCGGCCTCCAACTCGGCTTTCCACTCCCTTTTCTCCCTCAATATGGTGAGTGAGGTGGGCTGGGTGGGGCTAGCCGGGAGGGTGTGGACTCTCAAGGAGACCTCACTTCCTGCCCCAGTCTCCTCATTTGCTCTGCTCTGTCCTCATTGGTCTCCTTGTTATTCCTTCAATGTTCCAGGATATTTCTGCCTCAGGACCTTTGCACATGTCATACCCTGTGCCTAGGACACTCTTCCCCTGGCTCTTGGCATGGCTGGCTTTTCAGGTCTTAGCTTAAATGCTGCAGCCTTCCTCAGGGCAGCCTTCTGGGACCACCTGAGAAAGATGGTCCCTATCAGCCCTCTCCATGTCACCCCTCTGCCTTCATGGCACCCACTGCTCTCTGAAAGGACCCTGTCTCGTTAGTTTACTTATTGTTCTCCTCCCTGACTGGCCTATGCCCCACAAACACATGAGTGAGTTGGGGGATGGGTGGGATCAGGGGTCAGTGGTGGCGAGCTGTAAGGTTTCACATGGCCCTGTGCCCTTTTGCCCTGCTGTTCCCAATCGCCCAGACAGTGAATCTTAGCCTCCAGCTCTCCGTGTCCAAGGCAAAGCTCCAGGGGACCACGTCTGTGATGGGGTAAGCAAGGCCTCCTGGATCCGGCAGCCTCAGTGTGTTCTTCTGTGCAATGGGCTCACAAACACCCATCACAGAGCCTTGGGTGCAGCAGTCGTGGCATGGAGGTGGTGGGCATAGGCCCCTGTCGCTAACCCTCCTGCTTCCCTTTTAGGGATGTCCAGCTCACTGTGGCCTCCTCCAATGTCGGTTCCATTGAGGTAAGCACGGGGCTGGCGTCTCCAGAGATTCCCTCACTGGGTGGGGCAGGTCATGAGCCTGGGGAAGGGGTACGTGTGCATGTGTGCTTGTGCATTCATGCACCTGTATGTGCCACCACACCAGGCTTCCTTCTGAGGTGCTTGGGGACAGAGGTCAGTCAGTGGTCCATCCACCAACAATCAGTCTTTCCCATGATGTCTATCTGCTGGTCAGCCATTCAGTCAGCCTTAGCTCTTCAGTGGGGTCAGTCAGTTGGTCTGCCTGTCACTCTGCCTGGTGGTTGACAACCTGTCAGGCCAAGAATCACCGACACCATTGGTAAATTGGACAAGTCAGCATCAGGTGGTGTTGTCTGCTCCTTTAGTCATGTGACACGCCTGGCCTGCACGTTAATATGCCCCATCAGTCTTTCTATTGGTCAGTCCATCTGTCTGTCAGGCAGCGCCAACAGGGCAGCCAGCCTCCTGTTAGTCACACAGTGAGTGAGTGTCAGTCAGTCAGGTGCTCGTCTCTCAGCCTTTCCACAGGCAAGCGGTTCCTGGGTGCCTTATGCTAAGAAGGCTGACCTGCCCCTGGGGGTAGCTGGTCTCTGCTTGAAGCCAGGACAAGAGTGACCTGCCTTCCTCCCTCTCCCCCTGTTCCTGTGCTGTCTGTGTGTCTGCCTGCATGTTCATGTGTGGCCTGCCTATCTATCTCTCCCCACCCCTTGCTTGGGTGGGCCCCATCTCCTGGGCTCCGCGGCTGCAGACGGATAAAGTGCAAGCACTCATAGACACGGTGTTCGAGAAGCCCCTGCTGGACCACCTCAATGGTAAGCCCTGCCCTCCCCCCAGTTGGGCCCTTTGGCCCCTCCTGCCTCACAGCTGCTCAGGCTCCGTCCGGGGCCCTGTCCGACCGCCCGGACTCAGAGGGTAAGAGGGCGGCCCCTGGAGTCCAGCTGCCTGTGTGCGCGTCTTGGCTTGGCTGGTCAGCAGCTGTGTGATCTTAGCTAAGTTCCTTCCCCTTTCTATGACTCCACATTCCCTTCTGTAAAGTGGGTATAATAATAATGGCTCCCACCTCTTGTGTGTCAGTGGAGCTCAGTGTCATGATGCACATGAGGACTTCAGCACAGACCTGGTTCCAGGTGGTGCTCCGTCACTGCCTTCCAGCTGAACTTGGTTTCTCTTTTCCGGTCTGCAGCTCTCTTGGGCATAGGGGTTGCCCTTCCCAACGTGGTCAACCTCCACTATGTCACCCCTGAGGTCTTTGTCCATGAGGTGAGAGCCGTGGGTATGACTCCTCAACCCCTGGTGGGAAGCTGAGCTCTGAGATGTGGGTGTCACCTCTTTTCCTCTTTCTCTGCTAGTGCAAACACGGGGGCCTCAAGGTCAGCCAGCCCTGGGAGTGCCCCCTGCTCCTCCCAAGACCATGCCATGAATCCTTAGCTGCACTAGGATGGAAAATCCTGGATGTCAAGAGACACTGGAGGGAGCGTTTCACCAGCCCTTTAGTTCTTATTAAATATCACACCAGGCCATAGTCAGGGGCCTTCAATTGTGCCTTGATTCTGTGCCCTGGGTGGCTACACCTCCTGTGGTATCTGGGGGAGAATAACGAAGACACAAACCCCTGCAGGCTGTCTGAGAGAAGGGGCTTCCTGACCCTTCTAAAATCACTTTCCTTGATGAGAAATTGTAGGCCCAGAGTGAAACTGAATCATAACAGCTGCCCAGGGTGAGATCCCACAGCTTCTTTCTGTTTCACTTGGGACATAAGATGAGAATATTCTTCCTAATTCACTCGACAAGACATGCATAGGACAGATATCTTAGCCAAGGCCCCTCAAGTCCAACATCTGGTTGTTGGCCACCTCCCCAAGTGAGAACCACTGATGTCTTTCCAGGGAGGATGTCCTTGTTGCTTAAGAACTATGGTCCCAAGGCACTTGGGTGATCCATCCCCGAAGAAGGAACAATAGGCACATGAAACATCCAGGGCTATTAGTGGGAATTTCTCCAAGACTTCCCTAAACAGGCACAGTCAGTGGCTTACCCACAAATCCAGCTAGCTGGGTCTGAAGTCAAAGGTCTCTAGACCAGCACTGTTCAATAGAACTTTCTGCCAGGATGGAACTCTGCATTGTCCAACACAGTAGTCACTATCAGCCACTAGGATCATGTGACTATTCAGGACTTGAAAAGGGGACAGTGCAACTAGGGAGCTGAATTTTACATTTTATTTAATTTTAATGTATTTTAATGTGATTAGCTACATGTGGCTAATGGCTACCATATTGGACCACATAAGAGCTACACATGGGTAGGGACTTGGTCTGGCTTCTTTGCTGGGTTCCCCATCACCTGTCACAGGGTTTGGCTCATACAGTAAAGATTTGCTACATGAATGAATGAATGATCAGCAGGCCCCCGGGGTGTTTCTGCAGTGCACTGTAGAGAGTAGAGGACATAAGGGGAATGCCTGGCTCTGCTGGGGAGGCTCGGAGTTGGAGAAGATACTCAATGGTGTGGACTTCCAATCATAAAACTGAGAGGGTTCTGACCATGTACGGATGCATCATATGCAGGCCCCATGCTGAGAGCTCTGCCGGTGTGGTCTCACTGTATCCTCATGGTAGCATTTTTTAGTTGGCCTAGAGAGGCAAGGGACTGTCCTCAGGACACACAGCAAGAGTGACAGAGCATGAACTCAGAGCCAGGCTGAGGGGAGCAGCTGAGGGTCCTATGGGTTTTTGTTAGCTTCTGACCTGGCCCATGGCTTTCTTTGCCTTTCAGGGTTATGTGGTGATATCCAGCAGACTCTTCTACCAACGCTGAGGCAGGACCACTGGGATGGCTAAGGGTGGGACATCACCCTGCTCTGGGGACCCTCTTATCTCAAGCCACTTGCAAAACTGAGGCGAAGCCACACTTAGTCATCTCCAACAAGGCGTATGGCCCCAGTGGTCTGTTTAGTCTTTGCTGCATGTCTGGATTCCCCTCCTTCAATTCCTCCCATCCTGTCCCATCCTCCCCCATTAATCCTCCCCTCTTCCCTTATCTCCCTCCTCCTTGCTCCAACACCCCCTCATTGTGGGGAGAAAATTGCTCCTCCAGGCTGTACAGACCTGTACCCTCTTGCATTAAATATCTTTTCATGAGCTGCAACTTCCAGCCAAGCCCAGCGAACTCTTTGCATAACTGAGGCCAGTTCCCTAGGTGCCATTCCTGGGTCCTGTCTGTCACTGGAGCCACCAAAGCTGCCTGGGAGAAGAAGAAGATGTGACCACATCTCTACTGACCTCCTTTACCTCCTTGGCCAGGGGAGCTCATATTTTCAAAGAGGACTGTGGAGAACAACACAGATGACCTGGAAGTAACGACTGCCATGGCGGCACTTTAGGCACTGAGCCCTGCCTGGTGGCATTCCGTATGACTTTTCCCCCTCTACAGTGTCACATCCCATCTTGTTGCTAGGATCCCATACGAGCCCTGTGAGTCAGACAGGCAGGCTGTGGAGTCCCATTTCATAGATTCAGGGACTGAGGCCCAGTGAGGAGAGAAACACAGCCAGAGTCTTAGTGAGGGATGTCAGCTGATCCCCAGGACTGTGACCTTCCCAGAATCCGGACATAGGATCCCCGGTTTCCTCATCCATTCACCAGCACCTCCACCTGGGCTTGGTCCTTGAGTCAGGAGCCTCTGGTGTCAGGGAGTTCCCTGCCTTCTCATGTGGCTTCTCCATCTCTGGTTTACTCGTGAGCAAGATTTTTGTTTGAAGGAGGCAAGAACCACCTCCTGAGCCTGTGGCCTCACTGAACATGCCTAAGTCCCTTTCCCTTAGAAAGCTCTTCAAACTCGGTGGGTCACACATGACAAGATGGCCTAGGGAAGGCTGAGGGACACAATCACTAGCCAACAAAGCCACGTGATTTTCTGCACTCCCCCATCCCCATTAACTGATCTTTTAGCCAGAGACAGTATTTCTTCCTGCCTAGAAACACAGGATTCATGTGTTGTTTATGTTTCCCTGGGGAGTAAAATGTGCCCAAATTTCTATCATCAGAAAGCAAAGTCTTTGGTACTGCATGACACTAACGTCTCCCTCTGTGTGGCTTATGGGCTCATCCCTACGGTCTCAGCGTGACAAGCTGAGGGCTTGGGACCAGCCCAGAGTCTTGGTGGTAAGAAGGAGATGGGGGTGGAGCTGCGAGAGTAGAAAGGGAAGCCTGTAAAATCCAACCTCATAATTTTGCACAGGACAACATGGCCTTTATTTCATTTGGTCGCTTGTTAATTAATTCACTAATCCTACTTTTACTGTGATCTAGTATAGGCTCAGCCCAAGGCTGAGGTGGTTTGGAATATGGGAGACAAAAATTTTAAGACACAGACCCAGTCTGTAAAGGTAGTAATGACAAAGATCACGAGTTTAATATGTAAGGTCCATCCATTAAGCAGGCAGTCCAGTAATCCAATCTTCCTTCCATCTATTCATCTATCCACCTGTCAGTCCATACACACAGCCAACCATTTGTCCATCTATCCATGCATCCATCCTGTCATTCATACACCTCCCCATTTATCCAATTGCTTTTTCCAACCAGTGAGGTCTCTACCTATGATGTACTATGTTCTACATGCTCTTTTAGGAGGAGTGGGATGAAATGCCTGAGTCAAGCTCTGTGTACAGAAGGATGCTCTGGTCTGTAGAGAGAGAATTAGCTCAGTCCCTACGGGGACACAAGAGTGTAGCAGCCTGAGTCCAATCAGAAGGTAGAAACCACATAGTAGCTTAAACAGGGGACATTTAATATGAGGAATTAGAATTACTAACTATGGGAAAACAATAAATAGAAAGAAACAGGATGGGGTTGTAAGGCAGAGGGAGAGTACCCAAGGAAGGAAAATCCTGGAAGGGCTCAGACCTCACTGGAGAGGGTGTTATTCAGCCCCCTGGATGGCAGAGAAGTCTGCTGCTTTGGCCAGGTTGGAGCTGGCCCAGAGTTGCTGGGTAAACCATAGGCAGCTATGACCTTCAGTGTGCACTTGCAAGCAGCATGGAGGGAGGGCAGGGAGCCTAGGCGGAGGTGGAGGAGGGGGTGGGGCATTGTGCTGGTCATTTTAGCATCTGTTCTGTGCGTGACCACGCAGAGGCACTTACAGAGGGGGTCAGGGCACTGGATGGGCAAGAAGCCTTCAGAGTGGGTGGCCCAGGGGTGGGGGTGTGATGAGCTCTCCGGTTGCTGTTTGGAAAGAGCGACATGCGGAAAGGCTGTCCCCAGGCCGAGGCTGCCAGGCCATAGAGGGATCTCATTCTAGGCCCCCAGGAAAGACTCTGTTTCCTTAAAATAATTTTATTTTTATTTATATCTGGCCATTGGAACTTGGCTGGGACCACTTTACTTTAAATTTAGGGTAACAAGGAATGACATGGCTGTCCTCTTCCTGCTCAGAATTACTATTGTTATTGTGTCCCCTCATCATAAAGAGGATGAAACGGCATCCCAGGGAGGTTGAGGGAGCCGCCCCAGGCCACACAGCCTGTGAGGGCAGTGGCTGGGGCTGGAGCCCCAGGCCGTGAACCCATGGAGCTTTCTCCGCTTCCCCCACCCGTGTCCTTCCCAATCCCTTTCACCCCGTCTACGCCCAGGATGGCTCTGGGAGGAGGCAGGGAGGGACCAGGTGACCAGAGGCGCACTGGGGTGGGTTTGCGGGTAGGAGGTGGTGAGACCTGCTGTCCCTGTGTCAGCTGGGAACAGGCCCACAGGGATAAAACGATGCTATCTGTAGACTTGATTCTCCAGCTCAGGGCCCAGATCAGGATGGAGACAGGGCTGGGCCAAGCTGGATTCTCTTACCCTGTCCCAACCCTGGCTTCAGCCCCGCTGACATCAGGCAAGATGTTGCCCAGCCCCCCACCTCAGTGGCCCCATGCGCACAATGGCGCAGTAGCTGCCTCAGTCTTTCAGACCTGTGGACTCCCCGTGGGGTGGAGGAGGAAGACCCCAGTCATCCAGCAGCACCCCCTCCAAGTATCCCCAGCCAAGCCTCCCAAGGGCCTCATGGAGAGCAGAGCCGCAGCTGGGTACCCCAGGGCCTGGGTTCCAGCCCCAGCTCTGTGGTCAGCTTGCTGTGTGGCCACCCAGCCTTCACTGCCCTTCAGCTCTGGGTGTAGAGAGAAGCCCCCGCCCCCGGCATTTATCATCTCCTGGCACCTCCTCCAGGAGCTACCCCACTGGACAATTAGCTCTTTGTGCCTCTTGAGAGTCTCACAGTGGGCACAAGGCCTGATGGTCCAGCCAATACGTCCTCCTGAAACCCCTTTGCCTGCCTTGTAGAGCTGGCTCTGCTCACCCTCAGGCATCAGCTCCAACATCCCCTGCTCCAGCAGCTTCGGCTCTGACCACAACTCTGCTCTTCCCTCCCTGCCCATCCCCCTGGTTCAGTGGCTTTTGCCACTTGTACCTCCCCAGGAATGACCTGACTTTGTGGTTGCTGACTTGCAGAGTGTTCATCTCCCCCTGTAGTGCCAGGAGCCCCTCAGGACAAGAAGTCAACTGCCCATTCACTGGGGCATCACCACAGTCCTGCACAGGCCTGATACTCAGTGGGTACTCAATAAATGTTTGTGGAAGGAACGAAAAAGTGCCAACTGTGTGCCTAGTCTTGTGGGAGGCACTGGGTCTAGGGGAGGGGGCAACGCGAGCCCTGATGCCTGCTCCGATGACCACTCCCACCCCTGCCCTCCTCCTGGGTTCCCAACCACCTTTGTCCTCTGCTATTTACGTTGGAACAGGCTAAAACATCACGTGAGCATCGGGGCTCCGCTTCTTGAGGACTCTAGATAACTATCTGGGCCTTATTAAAGCCTTAATTATCCAAGCAGCTAATCAGGCTCCCAAATATAAGGACTTCCTCATCCCCGGGTTCAGAGGTGGGGGTCAGTCATCTGCAGGACGTCCCCAGACTCAGCAAGGTAAGGGCGGGCCCCACCTGAGGAACTCTCCCCAGAGAGCGTCTCATCCAGCCCTGTCACCTTACAGATGAGAACGCTGAGGCCCAGAGAAGGGAAGGGACGTGCCAGAGATCACACAGCAAGTGTGCAGGGCCTGGGCTTAGTTCTCTGTCCTGACCCCGACCCAGTGCTCCCCAACGGACAGGAAGCCACTGGGCGTCGCAACCTTCAGGTACAGTAGGACTTCAGCAAGATCCAGCAGACAGCAGGTCTGAGGGGCCTCCTTGAGCTCCATCTGAGGCCCAGGCCCTGCTTTGCAGGAGCTCAGGGCTGAGCTGGGGCAACGGGGCAGCGGTGTGGGAATGAAGGGGAGGGTTTGTGCATCCAGGAACATTTGCCAGGCCAAGAAAGGGAGGGAGGAACTCCAGGTGGAGGAAACCCGTGAGCGAAGGATGTCGGTGGGAGCCGCAGGAAACACTCACTTGGGGGCAGGTTGGACTGAAATCTTTGAGGATGGAGTCAGTTGGGGGCTGAGGGGAGGCTTCCTGGTGGGGAGGCAAAGGCTGAAATTAGGTCTTGAGGGATAAGCAAATTAGGGACAGGTGCTGGAGTGCGGGGTGGGGACAATTTAAGAGGGAGGGACAGTTTAGGCAAAAACACAAGCACAGTAGCACAGTCAGAAACAAAACCCGACACTGGCTGTCCCAGAAACACCTACCTGACTACGTTAGCCCCAGACACTTAGACTTTAAGAGGTCAAAAAACCCTGCCCAGAAAGGCCGTAGCTTGGCATCAGGTCTGGGCTGGAACTGGGGGGATGGAGTGGTGCTCCGTCTCAGGGTTGAGTATCCCCAACTGGGAGATGTCTCTGGGGCCAGAGGAGGCCTTCACCAAGCCCCTCCCAGCTCTGTCACCCTGGCGCTGAACTTCACCGTCCCTCTGGGCATGATTTTCAAAGAGATTTGACACTGAGCGTGCGTACGCCTGGCGCCTTCCCATGGCACATGTTTGTGTTCATAGGGGTTGAGGAAACACCAAGGTCGCTTATTTTCAAACCCGGATATCAAAAAATTGAATGAAATGAGAGAGAAACTTACACTTTCCCTTAGCAAATATTGATTATAGGCTTGAATGGTCTGCCCTGGCTTTTTAAATGTTCACCTCCCACGGCCATCACCCACATGCACACATGTATAACATGCACACGATA